TGGCGTTGATCTTTACAAGCAGTAAGTGATCTATGCAGAATGATCTTCAGGGATCAAACTTTTCGTATTTGGAGGGGAACAAATCTTCCCAAGGGAACTTCTTCAAATTCCCAAAATATTCACCTTCCGCTCGGGTAAATGCACGAGATTCCTTTGTTTTTGGGAATGTTAGAGTTCAGGCTTTCCAGTGGACTGCGTCTGATAGTCCCCAACCACAAATCCAGCAATTTCCCCGTATCAACGATGAAATATTTCAGTATGTTCGAACATTATCCACACATGAGATCGGCATTCAAGGGACGCGAGAACTACACGGCTGAGGACGTGCAGAAGGACGAGTTCTTCGTTAAACAAGGTCGGTTGCCTTCCCATTCGCCAGCCTTCTCGGTTCCGAACGTCTGAGGCCAGCAACTGGCGATTTAGCGCAGTGAACAAATTGTGCTGCAGCTAAAAATTACGTTTTCCGTTCAGGACACAAGATTCTGTTGGCTCTTCGCATGCTTTGCACGTCGTACGATGACGAGCCGACGTTCGATTTCTTCGTTGACGCACTCTTGGATCGTCACATCAAAGACGACATCCATCTGCCTCAAGCGCAATGGCATGTGAGTGACTCTGGCTGACTGATTACCGATATCATTATCATTAACCTTATCAGCAACGAAATTTTTGCTTTTTTGCAGGAATTCTGGAAATTGTTCGCGGAATATTTGGATCAAAAGAGTCACAGCCATTTGACGGAGGATGAGAAACATTCGTGGACGACGATCGGAGAGGAGTTTGGGCACGAGGCCGACAAGCACGCCAAAGCCGGACACCACGAGGGAGAGCACAAGGAGGAACACCACTAAGCGCTCGTACAGCTCAATAGGACCCGTGTTGTGTCGTATTCTCCCAAAAATGTCAATTTTCTCGTAATTTGTTTCCCTCTCCTTCTATTNAATATTCTGAGCATTATCCCTATCGATAGTGTTATCATTATCGATTGTATCGTATTCAATAAATTATTTTTCCCCCAAATATTATCACCAACACACCGCTCTGCGTTCGTAGACTAAAGGACAGTTCGTTTTGCAGCCAAAAGCCCCCAACTCTCGAATCTCGTAGTGCTGCTACGATCGAAATTCCAAAAATTAGCTTTAATCTGCTCAAATTTGAAAGTTCTTCCTCATATTTCCGAATATTTATCGTTATTTTGGGTAGAAATCGGATGAGTTTCTGCAAAAATTTGGAAAAATAAATGGAAAAATGATTTTGAGCGGTCTTGGATGCGAAGTACGGGTTCATTGTAGGGCATAACCTCACATTCTTATGATAACCGTACCTCAGCGGACCTGCTCTATTGAGATGATTTAAAAATCGTTTATAATAGCCGTCACCGAGTCTGCAAATAATATTGGGCAGGTTCCTTGAATGTAATCTAGAGAGGCAAATCACATGCAAAAGATAACGTGTAATGGCGAGTCAGT